CACAAGCTGATCTAGCACAACAAATCAATAATGTGAGAGAAATAAAATTAGATCTGATTTTATATTTGGGCTTTTTCATTTCATTGCAGCACACACAACTATTCGTCTCTTTATGGCGAATTCTACTGCATTTCTCACTACAATCAGCTTTTTAAAAGAAAAGGAAATTATGACGAGGGCTTCGGTCACAAGCAACACAAAGACCGCTGGCTTGATAAAAATAAAGGGACAGATGAGCCAGATGCTAAGCCCACTCCCAAAATGTCAAAGAACAAGTTAAACATTTCTAATGGCTACAGAGAGGCTTCTGCTGAAGCATTTGCCACAAAGTCATCCCTGAGAGCGTCGGGAGACAAAAGTGTTGCTGATGTTAAAGGTAAACTAAAAATGAGCTGGCCGCCAGAGAAGAAGAATTCTCCGCAGCGAACATATGAACCAGCTCTGAAAAATAAAATCTCTGACATCAGCAGAGCAGGTGCAGTTAGCATGAGCTTTTCAGAGCATTGGAAAAGCGACCGGATCAGTAACAGAGAAGGAATGAGAGATAAGAGGGGGAAGGAACAGTCTACAACAGCAAGCTTTATCTCAGCTGAGAAGTTTCCCTCAGAGAAAACAAAACCAGTCAGTCCTTTCCAAACTAACCACTCAGAAACAAGAATTTCTGTCACGAATCAAAAAGCAGTTCACACAAATGTGGCCCCCACCTCAGAAGCAAACCACAGCCCAGTGACCAACAAGCTGGACACTTCTCCAAATAAAGCTCGGAAATCTGTAAGGTTTGCCCCAAATATTGATGTCGCTCGATACGACCGATCCTCTCAGCTGAGCTCAGGTACAGAAAATGAAATGGTCGCAGATCAGTCTGAACAAATAAATAAAACCAATGATGGAACAGACATGAGTGAAAACACTATACTTGACGATTTGGCATCTGAATCCAGCGAAGAAAATAGAAAAAGTGAGATGTACCTTGAAATCCCTGAATATAAGCACCGTGAAGAAACAGCCAATATGTCAAACCAAGAGCATGATGCGAACGTAGGGAACAGTTTCAAAACTCCGCAGAATGATATTGAAACTCTGAACGGGGATGTGCAGAAGGTTAATGACTCACTCAACACCCAAAGTCTTACTGAAGCTTTCACTTCAACTAAAGACATCATGACACAAAAAGAGCCTTCTGAGAAACTGGATGTCAGTCCAGGGAACCCTGTTAGCGAGCATGAATCAGAAAATGTTGACACAGCACAAAGTCCTGCAGGACCCGTGAATGGAGAGGAAGTCAGTCTTGAAAAAAGTAAAAATCAGCCTGAAAAGCTTCATGTGACTCTTGGACAAGAAGAAGGTGGTGATCAGAAGAAGCCTGTTGGGAGAACAAATTCTCTGAAAGGCTCTGACAAACAGGCTGAAAAGGCCAAAGGCAAACTGGGATCGTGGTCCAAAGGAAAGAGCCCCTTGTCAAAACTCTTCACATCGAGTGGAAATGACAAAACAAACAAAGCAGAACAAAAGGATGCCAGGAAAGCAGATGTCAAACCTAGCAGTGGACTCTTAGGAAGGCTACTTCAGTCATCCTCAGAGAAGGCTGAGGACGTCACAAAATCAGCTGCTCAGGACAAGCGAAGGGATGAAACTCATGTTGATGACAAAAAAACAGAGAATGAAAAAGGCTCTGTTACAAAAGATGCACAAAAAGAAGAAGACCCATCTAAAGTCCCTCCTCAAGAACAAGCGCTTCAGAGCGACATCACGGACAAGTTACAGTCCCCCGAGCCTGATGCACTTAATAATGACTGTAGATCTTCAGAACCTTCCAGCCTGTCCATGATAAGTAGTGAGACAGGTGATGATTTAACATCCATAGCGCAAACGGATGCAATTCTAACTGATGATCAAGAATCTCATTCACAGAGCAGTGAGGCTACAAACCTGCCCGTCTCTGATCTGGAAATAGAGTCTAAAGATCTTGACCCTGCAGCACAATTACTGAGCACACCGCATGGGCAATCAAACAGTGAGTTAATACCTGAGAAAGGTGATGATGCATTAAATGACGTTTTTGGAGATAGCGTCACGTCACCCTTTGCTGACCCACTGGCCACAGAGATAAAAACAGATGAATCTGCCCAACAGCTGAACAAACATGACCCACCAGCTGAAGGAGGAGGGAGCTTGAGCAGTGGAATGCTTTTTGATCTCAACCACAACGGTGCACAAGATTCCTCTGATTTCTTTGGTCTGCCCGACACCCCCAGCACATTTTCAACTTCTATGACTGACACAGCTTTGCTTGAACCTGCTTCTACTCAAAGCTCCAGCCTGGTTGACTCTGGACCAATATCATTTGAAAATGAAGCAATCATTGGCATGTCAGGTCAACTCACCATCCCTGACTCAACACCTATAAGCCAAGATGTTAGTCAACCCTTGGATCCTTTTGGCAGCGAGAAGCAGACAAGTGAACAGGGCTTTGACATATTCAGCTCTAATGATGATCTCTTCAATCAGCCTCCTCCTGTTAATGTGCTCGATCATGGAGGAACTGCTTTCCCTGATGACATCTTTGGAAGCAGCAATGTCTCAAACAGTGCAGATGTGTTTACAGGTCTACCAAGCGGTCAGGCTGCTCAGAGTTCACTGGATGATTTGTTTGGCTCTGAAGCATCCTCTGTTGTTGCACCTCCAGCTCAGATGGACCTTTTTGCTGATGACATTTTTGGATCAGAAGCACAACTACTGCCAGTGTCTGAGCCAGGTGGTGCAAATGTATTAGCGGATAGCTTGTTAGCATCTGAAGAAAACAATACTGAGCAAAAATCAGAGAACAGTAGCTGGATGGATGATTTGTTGGGTTAAAGAGATGACTGTTATAATAACTCCAGCTCAGCCTACCTTTGCATATGTGGATGTCTTACTTTGTCTCTCTTCAGCATTGGGTACCACCCTTTTATGGAGCTGGTTGTACTTGGCATTCAGGCCAGAACAATTAAGCTCAGGGAGAGGAGGGTGTTCAGATTGGTTAACCTGTTTCAACTTATTCTTTTGTTGATGTTGTTGTTGTTTTAATTTGCTCTTACAACTACCACCGCTACTACTAATAGAAATAAAATAAACACTTTTTCACACACATGTATATAATTAAGCACTTGACAATTAAAAAAATAAACAGTATAACTGATTATGTTTAAATTCAAATTGCATTTTATTCAGAAAACTGCATCAAATATTGTAAAAGTTAAAGCTTTATGGTAAATAGCACATCTTCACATTACATCTGCAAAATGAATGCATTTTATTACATTTTACAAGGGCAAAAACTATATTTAATGAATAAATTGATGTGCAGTGACATGTTTTATTAATAAATACTGTATGAAAAGTATAATATAACATTTAAAGAAGATTGTAGAATGTGAAGTAAATGAGATTTTCTGTTGTCTGTAGTGAGTGTTGTCAATATGCTAATGTGAAAATTTAATTCTGAATTATTAAAATTAATAAAACAACCTTTTTAATGTTTTCTCAGGATGACACTTAAATACAACGTGATTCATTAATAAATGTAAAAAACCTAAAAATGTTTTCTTGAGCTGTGTCTTGGGTCTCTTTCTGCTTTGTGTGTTCTACACTCACAACCACTTCACTGGGTACACCTGTTGAGCTCCTCATTATCTGATAAGCCAATCACATGACAACAACTCAATGCATTTAGTCACATAGGCTGAGACGTCCTGCTGAAGTTCAAACTGAGAATCAGGATGGGAAACCTTTGAGTGATTTTACACACAACACGGTTGTTGGCGCCAGACAGTTTTCTGTGTATTTCAAACTGCTACAAAATCATCTCATGGATTTACAGAAAACAGTCTGACAGAGAGAGTTTTAATTTCTGCTGTGACAGGGTCAGAGCTTGGTGTAAACAGCATGAAAGGATGCATCCATCCTGCCTTCCAGCAACAGTTCAAGCTGCTGGTGTTAAAATTGCACCCTTTAGTAACACTTGAGCATTGTTGAAATCCTGCAGCCTAACTGTGTATGGAACATTGTCCATGCCCATCCCTTTATGATCGCAATATGGTAATAAAGGGCGTCAGGGGTGGACAGCTATAAATACAGCTCTTGCCCTTCATGCTTGATGGTGGGAACAAACACTCCGATGTGTTGTAATTCTATATCATCGATTAAAAAACTAAGATAGTCAAATTGATGATTTGAGAAAGTGTCCTTGTTCAAATGACATATTGTTTTGAACCTAAAGTTCTATGCAAATGTAACATTTCTGTAAAAACTGGCACTTCCATAGAGCGTCTCTTAAAATAATTTATCTGAAAATCAAATCTTTTGGAAAGCTACGAGAACGCGTATCTTTTCCGATACCAACTTCTGCATAGTTCTCCTTGCTTTCATATTTTCAAATATCTGCAATTACCCAACCAGGTACTCCGTTTTCCCTATTTGAAGATTTTGATTTTACAGATTTTTACTTTGGATGAAATAATGCACTCACTAAAATATATATTGTGACTCCATAACAGGCATCTGTTTCACGCGTTCTGTACAATGACTAACCATTAATGAATGAAACTTTATAAGTTATAAAACATGAATCTTTAGCTAAAATGGCAGTTTTTGTAATGAATCCCTTAATGCTGACAGTTTTATATCTGACCAGTACAGCTCTGTTCCTAAACAGACTGCTGAGGATCAGCTTTGAACAAAGTAGTAGTAGTTGAACACTTGAACACTGCAGTCCTGTTGTGAGCTGATTTTTTTCTTGATCCTAACAAAACAAAGAATCTCCAGAGTAGCAGACATGAAGCAACGTGAAACTTTATTGAAAACTCTTTGTTCTTGTTTGCTTTTTGATACAGAGAAAAAATAAATAGAAGGGGTGATAGGAGTCTTAAAGACAATCAGTCAGTTGCTGGGAGACTGACGCAGAAACAGAAACAGCACAGAGCTTTGAAGAGTTTTTGGAGGAAACCTTTTTCTTTCTTCTTGGTTTTAAGGTCTTCACAGCTCTCTGCAGTATTGGTAACTGGTATAAGTGGTTCACACGTGGATGATGTTTCTGAAGGGTGTTCCTCACTGGCTTGAACCTCAGACAAAAATGGAGATTCAGCAGAGGCTGATAGAGAACCTGGTGTTACCATATCATCGTTAATTTCTGGACTTGTTGATTCTTCCTCAGTTCCAGTAATGTTTAAGTCGTACTGATCTCTTGATGGGCATTGAGCAGCTTGTGTGTGATGAACTGGCTTGTTGGGGATCTGGGGCTGCAAGATCTTACAAATGTGGTTTGTTGCTACACCAGCGATTGTAGTGAGCAGGGTAGTGTGGTTTGCAGTGTTGTTGAGCACAGTGTCGTCTGGGTGTTTCTCTCTAATTTCTGCCAAGATGGTTTGGACCATGTCATCTCGCTTGGAGCGGGAGAAGATGGCCTTGCTTTCCATTGCTCTGGGAGTGTTGGAGACTTGATCCAGAGTGGCTTTTGTAACACAGGTGGAGAGCTCGCTCAGACTCTGAGAGGCCAGGTTCAAAAGGGGGTAAGGAGGATGCTCCCAGAAGCCTTGCAGGACTCTGGGAACTACCTCTATCCCTACTTCTTGGGGGCTTAGCAGTCTGGAGGTCTGTGTTTCCTGCTGCTTCTCTTTAAGGATCTCAAGGTATTTGTTGAACATGCTGAGGAGTTTAGGCGTTCTGTAGATTAAAGTTATAAGTATTCAGATATATTGAGACACTGTAGCTGAATTTTCCATAACTGTATGCCAAATGGGACTCACTGAAATTTGGGAGGTATGGCCTCTGGATATTTGAGGAGCAGCCGAGCCTGTAGCTCAATGTCCTTCATTTTATTAATAATGTTCACTGCCCACACCTGAAACAAATCAAATCAAATCAAAACAAAAAAAGAATACACATATAAAGTGCATTTCTGTTGTTAAAGAAAATTCTTTTTAAAAATCTACAAATTACTATAAGGTCCATCGGTTTTCTTGTCTTACCAGTTTCAGAAGACCTTTGGTTTCATTTTCTTCAAATTTCTCAATGTCAAACTCCCAAAGTCTTAAAATGGACACAAAGCAGGTTTTTATCTCAGCATCATCACAAACAGACGTTCATCTATGGTCTGTTGGCGTCACGGTAACTCACCGCTCTCTCAGTGTTTTTTTGTTCTCCTCCATTAAAAGATTGATCATATCTTCAGCAGTTATATGAGATGGTATCTGATTTTCCTGCTGAAGTCCAAGGAATGCCATCATCACTGCAATCTAAAAATAAAGAGACATTTAATCATGAACACTAAAAATAAATCAAAATTTACCAGATATTTTACGTCAGATTTGACTTGGATGGATTGTGGTTCTTACCTGAGTCTTGTAGCTTTGAAGGTGCCAGCAGGTCTTTAAAGCTGTGTTGTACTCAGGTGTGTCAAACAACACCTGTCAAAGAAACAAGAAGTTACTCATTATTAGTTAACTTGATTCATTGTATTTTTTTTTAAAATACACCAAATTCTTCATACTGTTTAAATGCAGTAAAATTAAAGACTCTCACATACCCCAGTAGGTTTGTAGACTCCAATACTTTCCTCCATTAAAATGTTGTTGCTGCGTATAGCAAAAATGGTCAAATACAACGTGAGCACTTAGCTAAAAGGTCAAGATGAAAATGGTTGTTTCTCCTGCACAAATGAAGTTTGTTATTATTGAAGCAGAATTCTAGAACTGCCTTATGATTGATTACACATCGCAGCAGGTCACTATGGTGACACCATGCAACTTTCATGTTGTTAAGTTTGCAAGTTTGCAAGAGTAACCACAAAACAAAAAACAAAAATTACCCACTCCTTTTCAGGTAATTTTTGTTTTTTGTTTTGTGCACTTTATGTTCAATATATGTATTTTTGTTGTGCCTGAAATGAACAAATAAATGAATGAATGAATGAATGAATGAAGTACTATCATATTTGTATTTATTTTACTACACTTTGTTTTCTGAATAAATAAAGTGTAGGCTATAGCTATCCTTAAGTTGCTGCAGTGAAAAGATGCATGCAAGTCGTCATTCAGAAAAAAAGGAAGGAAAAACAACCTGAACAATCATGTTAATTCATATTATTTGCCTGTTTATCTCCATTTTCTCATTGTAGATGTCAACTTACAAGGTTTCTTTAAAACACTGGGTTATGAGTTGTGGAGAGGAATGATGCATGCATTTGAAGTGTGACAGCACCGGCCCTTTAAACAGCCAAGAGGGAGAGATCTCTGTGTGTTCTGTAGTGGGATTGCAGGATGCTAAAATACGAATTACCAGGTAAATTATACCATTTTTGATACCACTGGAAAAAGTTTTACCCCATCCCACAACAACAAAAGTTATGGTGAACAAGTCATATTTAAAACAAGTTGTTAATTTTCAACTAATGTTCGAAGTTACACGTTAGATTTAATAAAATAAGAATTTAAGATTAGTTAAGTTTAGATGGTCTTGATGCACGCTCAATCTTCCAGGTAAGTAAATCTCCAAAAGTTGATTCTGTTCGTCCGGACGTAGCGTTTTGTGGGAGAAACGTTTAGATGGTTTATACATTTTACATATTATTTAGACAATTTCATTAATGACTATTAGTTATAGTGATATAAAGACATCACTATAGATGACATTTTAATAAATTACTGTGAAAGGAGAAAAGTTAAAGTTCATTTTCCACATTCCACATCTGCCTGCAGCCTGTTTCTCATCTCACACGGCTCCGCCTCAGTCTCCAGCTCTTCTAATTCTTCTAAGCAGGTCTAATTCTGCTCTGGATTTCACTTTTTATTTGCTTGGATTATGTCTTCACACTCTGGGCTCTCAGTTTCTGCGGCTGCTCTGCACAGCCACAAACCTGCTGGGTTCTTCACCCGTACTGAATCTGCTCTACGACATCTCAATATCTCATAAGCATCCCACAGTCTGGCAGCTGCTATGTTAGTGACAGGTTGATAATGTGCCTATTGGTTAATTCCTAATAGTTAAAGGTCTACTATTAGCGTGTGCGACAGCCAGATTAACATTCTTGATAATTGTTTAATGCTTGAATGTTGTTGAGACGGGAGCTTTACTGACACCTGAAATTCCTACTAAAGTGCTGT